ATTTCAAAAATAGGGAATGTAGACTACACTTGATTGGGAAAGAAAGAAAATGTAAGAAAGAAAGAAAATGTAAGATTGGTTAAGCAGAAGGGAAATATCACGGAAAAATTCACACGTCATGGCCCTACAAGAAAATGCTAACATTAGTTTCCGAGAAAGGAGAAGCAGAAAGAAACAAGGAAAAAAGGAAAGCAGTGCAGTCAAACATTCACACTACCATCATATATCTGTTTATCTCAGCTGAGTTTTTTCACAAATACAATCTCTTTTTCTCTCCGAGAAGAATTCTCTTGTGTTTGTTGTCCTTCTGTCTGGCTACTAAGCATTTCAGACCTGGTAAGTGAGTCTTTTTTTTCATTTCTTGGCATTGATCTCAATGATTTTAGGAATTCTTACAAACACAATATATCTGTTTTTGTCTCTCAGAATTTTCTTGTCTTGTGCTTGATATTCTTTTGAGCAGCTAGGCAGTTCAGATCTGGTAAGTGACCTAGTCTTTCACTTATTTCTTGTTGGCTTTTGTCTCAAAGCTTTCGGGAATTTCTTTCGTTTAAACTATAAGTGTTACAGCCCAACTTATGCTACATCAATAAGTAGATATTATAAACTAGTAATTAATATCATGAGCCAAAGACCAGTATGTAGATGTGTTATAGACTAATTAATATATAACCAAAATTCATTTTGAGGTTGAGAAAAATCAGTTCTTACTAATAATTAAAATGTCAAAGTTGATAATAAAAAAATTAAAATATTTTTAATAAATTAACATATAAAAAATTTATTAAAGTATTTAAACAATTTCACATAGTTCTGACATTTAAAGGTTAGGAGATGCTGATTTTTACTTTTTCTCATTCCAGTTTAGTCCATTAAATAAATCCTTAGGCCTTAGCTAATAGTCAAATGAACATAATAGGCAGATTTTTTTTTTTAAACAAGTTTGCAAGGGCTAATATTCGGACTGCTAATAGGCAGATTTTTGCAGAACCAATTCCAGCAGAAAGCATAGACATGACTAAGATAGTTAAATCATGCGCTTTACTTCACAAATATGCCATAGAATCATTATGGAGATCGCAACAAGCTTATTGACAGAATCATCTAACCATGAAGTAACTTTAAACTGAGATATCAGGAGAGTAGTTGGGTTGGTGAGTTTGCAAAGGTGCTCCGGCTGAATTCCGGCCCAACTCTGCAGTTTCGATCCGACAACTTAAAAAATTTCAAGAAAAATTCCAGAAAATTTTCTAAAAATAGGAAAACAGATCCTAAGCCTAAACCAAGCTCAACGGAACCCTTTTACACGATAATTTCACAAATTCATGTCCAAATCAAGAAATTCCTAATGCACAATAAACATCGAATGAAACTCAGAATAATTCACAACAAATTCAAGAGCAAACTCAAATTCCCATTTAATATCAAGGTATATATACATAAAATAAATCAAAACAAAATGATACCTATGTCTGCAGTAACCTTTGGATTCCGATAACAAAGCTCGGACTTTCTATTGCTCTTGATTCCTCTAACCCGAACTCACAATGATCTCCTAGATTCTTCGCTTTCCTCTCCTGAAATCCCTCTACCTTTTAGAGGCAAAATCTGAGGAGGGAGACACAGAATCCCAGCTTGCCGGTTACCTTCCCTCTATGATCCTCACCTAGCCTCCCCGACTTCTTATGAATATCTCTTTAGGTTAATGGCCTTAAGTGAAGCAAATCAAACATGCATAGATGAGAATTGAAAGTTTTGGGTTCAATTGAAATGAATTGACAATATTTGCGCCAAATTGCAACAAGCAAAAACCGGGGACTAAACTGTACAGGTTTGAAACGCTTTGGGGTACTTAAACAAATTAGAAATTGAGGACTTAATTGCATGATCTTAAAAAGATGCAAACCAAAGTAGAATAGGAGGGTGGAACATTGACCATTGACTTTGGATTTAACTTAATTACTTAAAACTCCAATTTAAGGTAAATCATTTAGATTAATTAAAGTTAATTAAAGGTAATTAATTATCTTAATTAATATTAGGTAAAAAGATATATAGTGACAGATGAAAATGGAAGCAGTTATTAAGGAAGAATATAGAGGGGAGGAAAAAAAAAAAGAATAATAACAAATAAATTATTGGTATGAAAAAAGAAAGTAAATACTGATATAGTTTAGAATGATAAATATAATTAAAAAAATGAAAGAATAAGTTAAAATATAGTGTCATAAGAAAAATTATTGAGATGAATAATGGTATTGCAAGCGAAAAAATACCAATGGAATAATATTAAAAAATTATTTTTTTTATACTTTAACTTAGAATATGCATAATATAAATAAAGTCTGTGAGAGAATTGGAATAAAAAATGTATAATGATCGAAAAATGTGTAAGTGACTAAAAAGGAATAATATATTAGAAGTATAAAAAGAGAGAAAATAATAGAAAATGATTAGTTTACACTCGATTTAATATATTTTTTGATATTTATCCTAATTCAGTTATTAAATACAATATAAATATAATTAATTCAGTCGGTTTCTACATTTTAGATGCATGACTGCATTTTTGTTTACCTTTAATTTTATACTAGAAGATAATAATATTTAGTGAATGTGTTGTGTAGTGAACTGAACAAGAATATGTACCAAATAGTATCAAAAAATAATAATAAACAAATTATTAATATAGATAGAAAGAGTGAGAGCAAATAGGTAGATAGGTAAATCTAATAATAAAATA